AATATGTATTCTCTGTTCTGTAATTTATCTTAGATCTGAATACTTTTAAATAATAAAAATAATCATAAGTTATAAAAATTAAAACTTATTCATATCACATTTTATCTTGTTTACAATCATTAACAAAATAATCTTACAACTACATTCTCAATATAAGCTCTCAAAATTTCGCAGTACTATTCCCAATCTTTCTTGGACTCATATTGGACAATGATTAAAGTATTATTATAAAGCATGATTTAATAATAAACCTGTTTCAATTTTAGCTGAATTAATTAAGTATAAATGGGAAGTTAATCCTTATGATCTTGATTTTTTTTCTCAATTCAATGGCAATTTGATTGATTTTTGAAAATCAACTAATGGCATAGATCCTAAATTAGTAAGAGTAGTAATTAAAATTCATGATATATGTATAAATTCTGCCTTAGTAGAATGATTATGATCATGTATGGGATTAATTTATACTAATCATCAAAACTGGCTAGAGGTTAGTTTATCTTTTGATTTTTAAAACTCATAATATGCTCAATCTTTTTTAAATTATTATAGTAAAAAAAAGTCTTGGTAATGAACCAAATTTGAAGTGATATCTTATGTTCATGCAAAATAAAATCTGCCAAAGAATATGATAATGAAATTTAGTAACTATATATTGCGATACTAATATTAGCAGATGAAGAATCAGCAGAACTCAAATTAATTATAAATGAAGAATATCAAGTAAGCGATAATGAGATTATTACTAATGAGAATAATTTTAGAGAGGGAACAAGTGATTCTTGCAATGTGTTAAGTCAGAAAAAACTTGAAAAAAGTGAAAATTTATCTACTACTGAAGTGGAAGAAACATAGGAACAGCTAATTAAGGAATGGATAGATTTAAGAACTCAGGAGAATCAATTTGATAATTTGAAAGATCAAGTTTTATTATCAAATAAATGAGATAATGATTTTAGTTTTAAGAGATGAGAAATACATTCTGCTAATGATGAATTTGCAAAATGGTCTTTGAATTCGCTATTTATATTCTCTTTAGAAGCTCTTTTATATTTAGGATCAGATTTTCATGTAAATAATTAATAAAATTCACTCTTTTTTAATTCTTTTTATAAAATCAAAAATGTTATATCTAAATACAAGTAAGATTATTAACTTATACATCTATACTAGTAAATTGGCTTGAATAAATATAAAAATTATCAATATACAAATTTCTATTATTTTAATAAATAGCAATCTTGTAATTGATAGGACTATTACATACTCTTAGTACTACAATATGTGAGACTCATATCTCACTTATTTACTCTATGACCAGTCAGTGCTTTTGTCTTTTCAGATGTTCTGATTTTGGGTGACCTGCTAAGTATTTTTGGATGCTTATTTTAGCATACAAATGAAAGAAGAGAGAAGAAACTTGACTTTCTATAAAATCAAAATTATAACTAACCTAATCATGAAATTTTCCTATTCCACCTTGAGTCAATCTCAAACTTCAGAATATTTTTAGAATGTTGATTTGGGCTAAGAATCTTTTAAACCAAAATATTTCTTTTCATATAGTCAGCTTTGCAAGTTTTCTGAAATATAAGTGCTAAATAGGAATTTCAAACTTACCTCTATCATGCATTACCCTTTCTTTTAGTCAAAATTTCTTTCCAATATGGTTCTAAAGTACTACTTTTCATTACTTGAAAAATTAATTTATTGAATTTCTATTGGCTAATTTCCTTAATTTTTCTATTGGTCAATTTTTTTAATTTTTCTATTAGCTAATTTTTTTAATTTTTTATTGGCTAAAATTATGACTAAGCTCATAGATCATACAATCATTTTTATGAGCTTATGAGTTATGAGTGATCATACAACTCATATAGATCATAATAGATCATAGTCCAACACTGTTAATAATGATTCAGAAATATTTTAGAAACAGTTCAGTAATGAATTTTATTTATTTTTATCATTTATCTTTTCTTTTTAGAATATATATCTTATCTTTTCATTTTGTTTCATTATTTATATTATTATTTAACTTACCACATATATCTTATCTCTTATTTTTACTTGTTTATTTATTAATTCTTTATCCTAAAGATTATAATTGTAATCTAAAGTAGCAAATAAGTTTAGATAGAAACTTATAAAATCTCAAAGATATATAAATATCTCTGCTCTGAGACCTGAAATAAATGTACTTAAATAGTAATAATTCAATTATCTTTTGAAAATACTTGAGTTATACTTATCTTATAATTTTCCTTTAATTTTTGTTGATAACTTGCTTTCATTTATCTCTTCTATCATAATAGATTATATTCTGATTATTTATAAATTTTTCTTGTCTAAAAAACTTAAGTAGTAGATGCCCTCCACTTAAAATAAACCAAGTATATCTTATTTGATTAAGAAGATTCTTGAAGCTTTTTCACATATAAAAGCTTGATTTTGTTTTGATATATACCTCTTGTTTGCCTAACAGTTAAAAAGATACTGTTAGAGAGTTTAGTTAGCATATTAAATCTTTTGTTTTAGTTATAGTAATTATTATTTTAGTTTTAGGTACCTTATCTTAGTTTAGTTTTCATGATTATAACTTCATTTTTATATTTTTATTTTATTTTATTTTTATCTTGTGTTAATACAATACTCATAAATATTAGTACTAGAAAATCTTTAGAATAATTATAATCCTCTTTATCTTTATAAATAATTCAGTCTTCACTCTCAAAACTTATTAT